CCCGAGCCCCCTCCTGCCCCCCCCGCTGCCCGCGGAGCGTGTCCGGAAGCCCCGCGCAAGGAGGGCCCAGGATATAAGAGCCGCCACCTGTGGCCGGGGAGCTCGGTCTGCTCTGGGGCTGGAGGAGCTTTAGAGTCCTTTTAAATTTTCATCTTAAACATTTATACCATTAATTCGAAATCTTTTAATCTTAGTACTCCTTAAGATCTTTCCACGCGCGGTTTTCACTGCTGTCTTTTCCATCCTCAGCCCGGGGCGTGATCCCGGTAACAGAACCAGGCGCTGCTCCCCAATACCTTAATTCCAGCTGGTGTTCGGCCCTGCCCCTTCCATGGATTGTGGGCAGGGTGGTGGGTGGGTCCGGGATGTATGAGCCACGGCCTGTGCTCAGGGAGCTTAGTCTGTTCTGGGGTTCTGCTTTGCTTGGGGCAGTTTTAGAGCTGTTGGAGCTGTTTGGATAAGCATGCTTGAGGATTGAAGCTCACTGTTAACATTCTGCAAGACTCAGAAGGGTGTTTCTTGCATGCAGTTTTTCTCCTGTTGGTAACTTCATACAGGATGTTTTGGGGTGAGTAGGTGGCTTAATAGTCTGTGATGTTTTTTTTCTTTCTGTAGATGATGAAGAGGAGCCTGGTAGCTTCAGGACTAATACAGTTGGCCAACTGTGGAGCTCTCTTTAAACAAAGATGGGTTGAGACCTCTGACCTGTGAGAGCTAAGTTGAGGGATGGGTCCTGGGGAGGGTTCAGGGGGTGGAGGGACAAGGTTGGGAATTGCAGGGAGGGATTTTTAAAGTCTAACCTTGCCCCCTCAGGAGTGCCTCTGACTTGACCAGCTGGACAGTGAACAATCTTGGAACACACAACAGCTCCCCTCTGGCATCAGGTATGTGTTACCTTTCAGACAGGGTAATTATTAGAAATACACCTTCCTAGAGGGGTTGGAATATTAAAGGAATCGAGAAGACAACTCTCTTTTTTTGTAGAAATGCAAGCTATTAAACTGCAAGTTAGTGGAATTTTGCTTTAACTCTTCTTCCCAAGAGATGACTGTTAATCTGGCATGATAATGAAGAGGCACAATAGAAACTATATGTATAAGATAGTAAGACAAAAGCTGATGGTTAAATACAAATGTTGAGCTCCTGCCCTCGCTAACTCTCTGTAGAGGAAGCTCACCACTGATTTTCACCTGCTCTTCTGACATCTCTATCACAAGTCTATGAAGATTTTCAGCCAAAAAAAGTGCTTCTCTTGAGGAAAGAGCTGCTGCAGGGCTGGGCTTCACCACGCTCCAGCAGGGCCCACGTTTCACACCAGAGCCTCACCCCCTCTCTTTATTACATGGGGCATATGCACAGGCTATAAGTAAATTAATTCACCTGGGAAATAACTTTGTCACTAACTTTTCTAACAGCTTCTCTGTCCAGAGGCCTGAGAAGACTGGTCCTGAGCAAACAGGCAAAAATAAGCAACCTCTTTGTCCTTCCAAATGATCAGCTCTCACCGTCCCCCTTTTTTTCTGGCTAGGAGAAAAGGTTTGTGAGACACGTGTTCCAGAGTTTACCACTCATCACTGCATGGGAAATTATGAGGTCTGCTGGTGCAAAAAGAACTTACAGTGAACTGAGATGCTTAAAAAGCTGAGCTAAAGTATCAGAGGGGAGAATGCAGAGCTTACCACATGTCTGGGGAAAATGGCCAGCTCAGTGACAGAGCCCAGTCTCCCACTGGCAAGTCTCCTCTAGAAGGAATTAACCCTTAGCTATTCCAGTGTTTTCCAGAATTCCAGTTCTGTTGCAGTGCTCCAATGAAAAAGTTTGGATGAGCCCAGGCTTGCCCTTCTAGTCACTTA